GGGCGGGGCGAGGCCGGCCGCGGTGGGGGGGGCCGGCCGCGGTGGAGGCGGGGGGCCCGTGCTTGTAAGCGTGAGCGGTGCCGCGGTGGAGGCGGGGGGCCCGTGCTTGTAAGCCTGTGAGCGGTGCTCCCGTAGGCATTTGAGCGCAGAGGTTGGAGTAGGCGGGCTGCGAGGCCGTGCAGGGTTGTGAGACGCAGGGCGTTCACTGAGTAGCCGCCTGAACGGGAGTTTGAGCCGGCGGAAGTCTGGCTGCAGGGCGGAATCCGCTGGATCTGTGCGGGCCCCGAGAGACCCTCCGGAGCCTGGCCCGGGCTGCGCAGCCCGGGGGTCCCGAGCTTAGGGGAACCGTCAGCCGGGAGGCCTGTGGCTGCAAGACCTGCTCAGCCTGGCAGCAGGCTGCCTGGGGCTCCTGCTGGTGCCTGGCACAGCAAATGGCGAGGCACAGCTCATAAATGGCGTCTGCTAAAATGTTCAGTACCCTGTTGAATTCCCAAATCTAAGCTAAAACAGAGCTGAAACAAGGTTAAAACTAATTAAGCTGCTTAAGAATGAAATATGCCTGCTCAGTTGTGTCAGCGCTGGGCTGGTTTTTTCTCCTGATATTTCCTACTCTTGCTAACAAGTTGTGGACATACACACAGAAGAGGGAGGAAAGACAAGACGCCGTGAGGTGTATGTACAATATCATCTGCGAAAACCCGATGACAACACCAGTGTAAGAACTGTGTGTCAGATGAGTGGAATAAGCTGGAACATGAAGAACGAGCAAAGTAGCAATATGGATATTAGATCTCGGTTTAACCGTGTGCAAAATGACCTAACGGAAGCAAGACTTTAATAGGAGTCGCCACGCCTGTCTGTGATTGGTCAAATGAATGTTTCTGCACTCTAAGCCCTAAAAAAACCTCATCCTAATTAAGTATTCATGCACATGATAGAAGCCAGAGCGATACAGGTATGGCTATGATGAAAGCCCTTAAATGGGGAAAAGTGTTCAGGGTTCACCAATAGCACTCCTTTTCTCAGTTGTATGATGTTTATTGTTTGCACCAAGATTATGATTTCAGTTATCTGTTCCAATCCTATCAAATCCTGCTGATTCTTTTTCCCCTTTTTGCCCATCTTTGTATACTTTATCGCTGTGAAATTGGGGACTTTTTGATATGTGTGTGGTATACTGGATCCCTGTCCTTATTTGAAGCTTGTAGCTCCTAAAGAAATATAAGTCAAACCCATAGGTTTTCATTAACTTTCTCCTAAGCCAAACCAATGATGTTTGTCACTGCCAGTTGATGCAGGACATGCACATCTAGAGATAGGACGAAAATTATTATCTCAGTGGCCAATCTGACGTCTGACAGCCACATTCTCCTTCATATTTTAGCAGTTACCTGGAAGAAATGAAGTCATAGCCTGCAAGGTGATTTGCGCAGTAAATAATTAAAAAATAATTTTGAAGATAGTTGGCTACTACAGAATAGTTTTCATTGTTCAGTAATTTATTTTAATTATACAGTATGGACTTTAATACATTCAGATGCAAGGTTGTCTAGGAACAGAGAATGCATGTGTATGTTGCAGGATGGAAAATACCTGTCTAGTGGAAAGCTTTACCACTGAGAAGGGTTTTTTATGTAATAATTGACAACCGAAAATATCTGAAGCACCAGTGCAGTTTGTAGCATAAGAACAGTTTAACTGTTAGTTGAACTAACAGACAACGTGCAATTCTACTGTCAGTGTTTTTAAAAGGATGCTGAAAAATTGTGGAGGACAGCTAGAGGTAAGAAATAACTTTGTGGGCTGAAAAAGCTATTTCACAGTGGGAACAGACAACCTACTTAATTCATCAAGACTTAGTAGACAATAATATCTTTGAAGCATCCACAGAGAGTTAAGATAATGCTGAGGTCTAGTTGAATGGATGAATGTCTATTAAGATTCAGTCACTGCAGGGTAAACTTTGATATTCTCAAACTGGAAATAATACTAATTCTTAAGAGGATTTTTTGTATCAAGTGGGGTTGTGGTATACTGCATTGTAAGTAGCATTTACTATATTAGTTGTCATTCTGAAAGAATTTGAAACTGTGCAGATCTGTTCTTACGCCATTTCCAGCTACATGTCCCTCTTTTGTACTCTCCTTGTGTAAAGATACGGCTGAAGAGAGATCTGTTTTTCTGACTTGACTCCTTCTACAAACTGCTGGGGAAGTGAACCTCCTTTGCACTCAGCCTCTCAGGCCTTGTGCATATGTGTGTCCAACTGTGTGCAAGGCATCAATAAAGCTTTTACTACTGTGTGCAAGAAATAAGCCATAGCTTTGTTTGGGGCCTGTATTTGCATTCATTAGCCTGTCTTGTTCTGCTCTAGCATCTGCACAGAGTTTGGAATACATTTCTCCTTTGAAGCTGTCTTGGTGCAACGTGCATCTGATTGGTGCTCACCTCATATCTCGGTTTTGGCCTTTGTTGCACAAATCTCCTTACTGAATCTCTGAGGAGTCGTTGGAAGCACTTTGCATTGGGCTACAGGGAAGGCCAGGAAGGCAATATAGCAGAAGAACAAAGTAATGCGGTCATTTGAGCTGACATTCAAATCTCTGCTTTGACTTGGGTGGATCAAACCTTTCTGCAATATAGGGCCACATTTATGACTACAAGCGGCAGAGATTTTATAACAATTAAGAATTCACAGAGTAGCCACATCTGTAGAGTTTTAACATGGAGGGATTGGAATCCCAATACACGGCATAAAAGCAGTAGAATTGGAACAGGAACTACAGGAAAAAATTAAAACGTCTGAGTGAGATTCAGAAACTTTGTTGGAAACCTTTTAGAATATTTTGCACAGAGGTGCTGCTATCTGTCCTTATGAGTAACTCATCCTTAGATAAAAATGACAATGCAGAGACATTCAGGCGGATGAGATTATATTGGGTCATACTGTAGAATAAGAATTTATCTGTCAAATGACTTGAAGTTACAGGCAGAGCCAAAGCAGATCTTCCATGCAATACATGAAAGTCATAATTAATGAAAACACAGAGGTAAAATGATAAAATATTTTGAAAAGAATGTTTTTGCATATTACAGTAGACAGTTCTAACCTCTCAGGAAGATTAGACAAGATCTGTGAAGATGAGTAAAAAATATAGTATCACTAAAACAAGAATTATTATATAGGTGACAGACAAGCACAATTACATATTTTTCAAGCAATAACAAAATAAGAATTCAGGATAAACTGGAAGTACAAATCATTTTCTATTTCTGTACAAGTCAAGATGTTTTTCAGTGTAACATCTTAATCAGTGACCAGGACAGTTGGACAGAATGCATCTTTATCAGGGTTGCAGATGACACCAAAATGGGGGGAGCAGTCAACACACTGGAGGGTAGGGTTTTTATTCAGAGCAACTGTGTCTTGTCAAAACCAGTGTTTTGCCAGAAAGCAAGCAGGCTTAGCTTTCTGAACTACTGGCTAAGGGAATCTGTTTGTGTTTCTTTTCACAGACTATTGGAAGCCTGTAACAATTCAAGCCATGTCTCCAGAAGTGTATTTGGTAAAAAGGTTCTGGTTACAAATGCCCAGTCTGAGTTTTCTATCTGCTTTAATGTGTGTGGGTAACCCATGAAGCAATTGTTTGTTCTTAATGTGTTAGAAGTGCAGGTGTGTTGTAAGGAGTATGAAAGGCATTCTCCCAAAATTAATATTAAATCTAGTGACTGTAAGGGAAGAAGCAGTGAGGAAACAATTTTGCATGAACATAACAGTGGAAATTAAAATGTGTTAATGTGCTGGCATTTTTTGCCATTAAGGACTTGGTTTATTTGCTTATAATCCCATATGGCAATACTTTATAGCATCATGTACCCTTAATTGCTGATGCATGGTACTCTAAGACGTGTGTTTTGTGGCTGGTAAAATTGTTCATCTGTGTTCGAAAGAAACACTTCTTACTAGTGTTACTCACAGGATGAGGAACTCTCAATCTTCCATGTTGAGAACAGACAAGAATCTGATTTTTCTTAGGGAAATAGAAGCAGCTGATGTTAGTGTCTCTCTGCTATTTGGAGAAGCTAGCATTTCAACATTGAATGTGATGCAGCTGGAATGAAATGTTAAGGATGGGAGAGATCCAAAGAATGTTTGGAAAGGGAGAAAAAAATGGCATACGAATACTCTCTTTTTCACCTCTAGCTGTGTAAGAAAATCATCTATAAAATCTGCAGAAACCATTCACTAGGAATGAGTTTGCCTCCAGGGGAGCCAGTCTGTGTTGCCAGATTCAACCATGATTCCAGGACACGAGTTCCTATTGATCCTGACCACCATCAGATATATACTGATCTATATACTATTACTTAAACCATATACTCACCCCACTAAGCATAGGAACTCACAGCTGAATTAACACTTTTTGTTTTGGCCTTGCACTGTAGGATTTACTTTTGTGTTGCAAGCAGAATTCCCCAGGCACTGATACTTGTCCCCTGGCACAGATGATGTCCTGCCAGATAGAAAATCTGTCAACATTTGTTTGGGTAATGAAGTCTTTACAAATATTTGGCTCATTGCCATAGCTGTTTGGCACAGACAGCAGAAAATTTAGAAGCTTCACTCGTGCATAAGGATTCATCTGCTTACACTACAATTTAAGGGGTGAACAGTCATTAGGAGAAAAGGAACACTCTAGATGTTCATATAGCCTTGAATTATGTGAGTGAATGCACTCAGAGATTCATATAGATATAAACCAACTAATTTGGTTATTTATTTTAATTTTTTTAGAATAGCTAAATGTCCAGCCAAAACCCTTAGGTGCATTGCCATCTCTTAGAAGCTTGTCCAAAAAGATACTGCACAAATGCTTATCTGGAGCTCAGCTTAATATTAAGACTCCTTGTATTTGCAATTTATGACTTGAGCTGTAGGAAGATTTTCTAAAAGATGTTTCCACATCCAATTACACACATAGTGAAAACTGCCTTTAAAACCAATAAAGGGATTTATGTCTGTTTAGGCTACCTCTTTTCACAAAGTGTGCAGGAACTGAGTTATCTTTCAACTAAAGCCTTCTGTCATGTTCTGCTCATGCTGAGCAGTGGGCTCAGATTTTACTAGGAGACCACGTGGTGTGATAAAACATTTTTTTTTTTTCTTCCCAGGGGAGTGAGGCAAATATTGGGACTGACATACAGAAATAATCAGACTCAGAATGAAAAGTAGTGGTTTTACGACAAAAAGGAGTCAATGGTCTCCTCATATTATTTAATGGTTATCTCCTCTTACTATAGATTGCGCTCTAGTACACAAGTAGGGATTTGTGCACGATCAGTTGTGTTACTAAGCAGATGGATTGTTTGCCATTGTACAACCTGGAGCTTTTATCAGAGCTTATGGCATTATTACTGGATCTAATTCATTGTCATAATCAAGCCTGAAAGGCATGATTATTATGTATCATCCTGCTCAATTGTTCACTAATAGGGTAGGGTGCTCTTTTAGCCACTTAAAGATGGAAGCAGGTGGTTTTGCTACAGTTATTTGATAGAACTGAGGAGTTGGAAAGGGCTTAGCTGACCTAAAAGTACTGAACGCTTTCTTAAGCACTTAAGCTCTTGAACATCACTCATCTGGATTCTTTTCCATCTTTTCCATTTTCTATATTGATTTCAACTAAGACACTAACAATTATAATACTTGTGATGAAAACACTGAGTGGCAAAGACTGAATTATATCGCTGTATTGCTGGTCTTCGGATAGCCTTGCCAGATCTTTTCATGACTTCAAATGATGAATACTTCAAATGATGAAAACTTCAGATGTTGAATAGCACAGGGACAGAGGACTAAACCTCATAGGAATCTTCAGATGAGACCTTTGAAGATGCAGGAACATTTATTCATAGTTACTTTCTATCTTCCTGTGGCCTGAGAAGGAGACAGTGCTGTTTCACAGTGGTTAAAATTGCCCCCTAAAATGTCTGTTTGTCTGGACTGTCTGTTAGAGTAGCAAGTACTGCTTACCTAGCCCTGCAACACTGGTAGCTCACAGTAGAGGCTTTTTATACCTGGTTTTTAAATTATCTTATGTAGATAATGGTTAATCTTAGAAGTGACTATCCTGGCTTTCTGTTAGCTCCAGTATTTTCTTACTTTGGTCAGAATTTTATGTTCAGAAGGAGTTATAATTTTATGCCATGGTAGAGTGTAACAGATTAAGTTTCATGTGTGCTCTGCTCAGTTGTCAGCCAAGAAAGTAGCATTCTCTCATGCACACGTAGTGACCATGGCTCTAAATAGCTAATTCACTTCTGGGCAGAGTATATTTAGCATCTGTTAACAGAAAAATCAAAGGTTTTGGTTATCAATACCTTCTGGGGACATCATAAATACTGAGATGATTCACCAAGTTCTAATCGTTTTCTTGACACTTTTTATCATGCAGGTTCATAGCCAAGAACATTATGAGGCTGCAGCGTCTGGGGATAACCCATGTTCTGAATGCAGCAGAGGGGAAGTCATTCATGCATGTGAACACTAATGCAGAGTTCTATGAAGGCACAGGCATCAGATACCATGGCATTAAAGCTAACGATACACAAGAATTTAACCTCAGTCGCTATTTTGAGGAGGCAGCTGATTTTATTGAGAAAGCACTTTCCCAGAAGGATGGTAAGGCAAACTGAAGTATCTTTCTACCATGTTTTCTGTGCACTGCATATGTTTCTTAGCAATTTATTGTACTGTTTAAAATGGTTCTTTGCTCATCAGATCATCAGCTGAACAACCAAGTCAGGAATTCAGATCAAGGCTCTGGATCAAAGACATGAGAATACATAATGAGACATCTTAATCTTCTGTCTATACACGTAGGTCTCCAGTATATGGCAAATGAAAGTCTGTCACTGTAGGGGTGACTTTGAAAAGTGAAACACACTGCTGCGTTCTATAATAGTGCCTTTCTGGGAAGATGTGTTCTTATTTTTCCTTGGAAGTGGTAAATCACATGAAAAAATAAAAAAAAATAAGTTCAGGATCTAAAAGTTCTTTTAGGACACTAGAAATTATAAATCAAAGGCAGCAGTCATACAAGTAATGCATTGCTGAAAAGTAGTCACACAACCTGCTATATGTTTTTTTCCCAAATGTACAGTAAGGATAGAGACTGTGGCCTTACAATTTTTATTACATTAAGTCATTAAATTATTTTATGTGATGATTACCTCATTATTTTCTAGGATTGCAGGAAGGCTGGAGATGATATTTGCAATGTTGTTGATTGCCACATTTCCCTACAGTGTGTTTCCTCGGAGCAGAAATCCTAGGACATAGTGCAGTAGGCCAGACGGTGTTTGTTGTTGTCTGACTATTTCAGCATACCGTTTATTTCTACACATGCTTAATTTCTTTCTTGCTTCATGACTGAACGTGAAAAAGGAGGAACAAGAACTCCCACAATTCTAGAAGTCCTTTCTCTGAAATGGGCAAAAGGGGTACTAGAGCTGTGATGTGCTTTTGACAGGTGGAAAGAAATTTTACCTCCAGTTTGGTGGAGTATGAAAAATTGAAACGCAACTCTTCCAGTTAGCATTGTGACTCACTGAAACAGGTTGCAGTAGGAAAGAAGAGTCTAACAGTGCCAGCTGTGCCATGACTGTCCCTACTCAGTTTGATCTAAACAGTTGCAGACTCGATCTGAATTTACAGTAGCAGTTCTATTTGCTGATTCTTTCAGTCTTAGTAGTTGTCTACAATGGCTGCCACTGTTTTCTTACGGCAGTAAACAAAGAGGAACTTTGTAGCTGGGTGATGCTGGAGCCAATTTTAAGATTAACTCACTACTGAAATTTGATAGTTTTGTTTGACATTGAAGTGTAGAGTAAGGACAGTGAAGTGAAGAGGGATGCAGTAGTATTTTCCTTCAATTTCATTTTAGTGTTGTAGTTGCATGAAGTTCTGAAAGGCAGGTCTGGCATACTAAAGGTCTGGAAGGCAGCTCTTAAGACTGCCTTTCACAGAGGAAGGCTAGAAACCCTTTTGCTTCTGATCATTTGCAGAGGGGAAGTCAATTCTCTTCCACATATGTGATCAAGAATCTCTAAATCTTGCTAATTTATGGCTACGGGCTCTCAAGAAATGTTGAGAATGAATTGTTTTAGCTGTTTAACTTGCTACTGATTAGAGATTTGCCTTGAGCTGAGAAGCCTCTGCAGCTCAAGGCAAATGTGGTAACGGGTTTTCTGTTGCTGTGGTTCAAAGCAAGTTGTGGTTATGATGAAAATGTGTGCGTATGGTTCATCTGTTCTCCTGTCTCAGAAAAAAATTTACTCTGGAGAGTAGCCTGGGGCCATATCTCCCACTGCATTTGGGAAAGGGAAAATTTTTGTGTCTGGAAAAGCAGGTCAAAGAGGAAGCAGCTGAGAAGCAATAAAATCGAGTTAGATTTCTCAAAGGGAGCAGTGGCCTGCTTTATTATTGTTGGATACCTACCTATAGGATTTACCCATGTGGTGGGTTGACCCTGGCTGGACACCAGGTGCCCACGAAGCCGCTCTATCACTCCCCCTCCTCAGCTGGAAAGGGGAGAAAAATAGGACAAAAGGCTCGTGGGTCCAGATAAGGACAGGGAGTTAAAACTCAGCAATTACCGTCACGGGCAAAACAGACTGGACTTGGGGAAATTAATTTAATCTATTACCAATCAAATCAGAGCAGGATAATGAGAAATAAAACCAAATCTTAAAACACCTTCCCCCCACCCCTCCCTTCTTCCTGGGTTCAACTTCACTCCTGATTTTCTCTACCTCCTCCCCCTGAGTGGCACAAGGGGATGGGGAATGGGGGTTGTGGTCAGTTCATCACGTTGTCTTTGCCAGTCCTTCCTCCTCACTCTCTTCCCCTGCTCCAGTGTGGCACCCCACCCATGGGAGATAGTCCTCCATGAACTTCTTCAGCATGGGTCCTTCCCATGGGCTGCAGTTCTTCACGAACTTCCATGGGGTGCAGTCCTTCAGGAACAGACTGTTCCAGCGTGGGTCCCCCATGGAGTCACAAGTCCTGCCAGAAAACCTGCTTCATGGGGTCACAGATCCTGCCAGGAATCTGCTCCAGTGCGGGCTTTCCACGGGGTCACAGTGTCCTTTGGGTGCATGTACCTGCTCCGGCATGGGGTCCTCCATGGACTGCAGGTGCATGTCTGCTCCACCGTGGACCTCCGTGGGCTGCAGGGGGACAACCTGCCTCACTGTGGTCCTCACCACGGGCTGCAGGAGAATCTCTGCTCTGGTGCCTGGAGCACCTCCTGCCCCTCCTTCTTCACCGACCTTGGCGTCTGCAGAGTTGTTTCTCTCACTTATTCTCGCTCCTCTCTCCCAGCTGCTGTTGTGCAGCAGGTTTTTTCCCCTTCTTAAATGTGTTATCACGCTCGGCTTTGGCCAGCGGCAGGTCTGTCTTGGAGCTGGCTGGCATTGGCTCTATCGGACATGGGAGAAGCTTCTGGCATCTTCTCACGGAAGCCACCACTGTAGCCCCCCCCGCTACTAAAACTTTGCCATGCAAACCCAATACAACCCAACAAATATCTAGAATGAGTTCCCTAATCAGTTGGCTGGAAGCATTTTATTGGTGCTGGCATAGGTGTGATTAGATGTTTCTGGTTCTTGTTGCTGCACAGTCAGCGGTTTCATTTACTTGAGTGTTAATGTGGCTTCATAAACAGCCAGAGAAGTAGCCAGGTATGATCCAACATGGAGTTAGCATAGGAATTGGCAGCAACGCAGCAAAAACGCTGGACATCTTTGAAGAGATGCAATATATGACAAACAGCATATTTCTGTGTCTTCAGTGTATTTTAAACTTTGCATCATTTATTTGTGCTCTTTGGTACTGGTCATCTTTAGGGGCAAGGCTTATTCTAAACCACAAAAGATTGGAGAAGTGTAGTAAATAGGCACAGTTTGACTCTTTGTAACATAGTAGCAAATGTGTTTTAGTGTGAATGTTTGATATACAACCATTTTTTTTCTGCATTATCCTTGATAATGACTGTGTAGCTACTAACAGAGTGATAGCACCTTTCTTCCAAGTTCTACATGTCTTCTGTAGCAGTCAGAATTTACATTTCTCAAGCTGCTGAAGGACTAATATTATTGTGCTTTATATCCTAGCTATTTCATGTTGCTTTTCAAACATATATTCCAGTATCACTGAAATTATGACCTGTCTTCCCTGCAGGACAAGTGTTTGTGCATTGTCGTGAGGGCTACAGCCGTTCTCCTACACTGGTCATCGCCTACCTTATGCTTCGCCAGAATATGGATGTCAAGTCTGCACTGAGCACTGTCCGGCAGAAGCGAGAAATTGGCCCCAATGATGGCTTTCTAAGGCAGCTTTGCCAGCTCAATGAGCAATTAGTGAAGGAGGGCAAACTGAAGCCCTAGAACAGAGCACCGTAGTATTTTTTGAAGTTTCTCAAACCATCAGAGGACGTCTTAGGTGCTTTAGATTCCCAAATCCCAACCACCAAGCTAAATCACATAATGTGAGGGAGACAGAATTCCTGCTCTTGCCTGCTGAAAGTATCTTTCTCAAACTCTGGGTCTGTCTTTCAAGATAGCACAAAATTGTGTCACTGTTCAGAGCTGTTGCAATAAAGAGGTGTTTTTAGAGGGGTAACTCCAGTGATAACAGCTGTCTTCACATGTATTTCAGAGCCCCCTGCAGACTCTGTAGCATATGTGGTTTGCATTGACATTGAGTGTGATTCATTTAAGCCTTGTCTTGTATACCACCAGAGCACCATTTTCTGAGAGCCCCAACACATCTCTTCACTCACTCTTAATTGAAGTACTGTATTTTCTAAAGCTTCTTTTTCATGCACACAGGTGCCTAAAGTTTGAGTGTAGGAGCTTCAAGGAATGGAGAAGCATATATACAAATGCACAGATGCACTCGCTTGTAAAATGAAGCGTATGCAGTGTTGTGTTTAGTGTGAATTTATGCAATACACAGTGTGTGGTAGTAAAGCCATTCAGAGCCCAATCTTGATGCACACTGTATTTCCAAGAATATTTGTACCTTTTGCTGTTGTGATTGACATGAAATAGTCTGATATTAAATGCTCTTTTATTTTTGTTTTGAAGTCATACTAGAAAAAAACATCAAGAGCAAATGTTGAGGAAAAAACTTGAGCAAGGAAGAAATAATGTCTGTATTTAGGAGTGCTTGTACTGGATGTATGATAAAGTCCTAAGTATCAGAATGTAATGCCTCCCGAGGCTTGTATTGAATTACAGTGCCTCTCTCTCTCCCTTCCTTACTATTGCTGTTTATTAACGTAGAATGGAATGAGCACATACACAGCTTACTTCCAGTAGGGCAGCACAGGTGTGCTTACAAAGCAGTTTGCAGAAGTACACTCTTGACTTCTTGGATTGCTTGCATGGTCTCATTAAATAGAAGTGAGCTGTTACATACCACATGGAATAGGAAACATTTCCTTTCTATTAAAATAAATGATGTCTTGATTCTGTTTGACGTACAGATGGAATGAGTCATTGCAATGTTGAGAGAGGGAGCTTTGTTTACAGCGTGCCAGACTTAGTGTGTAAATGTGTACCTGTGAGTTACAGCACTGTATTAACGCAAAGGATCTCCCACTGCAAACTCAGAATTGTTGGTTAAACTAACAGAACCTGAGATGTCTGTGTTCCCTTTTTATCTGTGCTTTAATGTAGTTCTAGATTGAAAATCTTAACACTATTTTAAACAGAAACACTGTTGTATTAGTAACACACGTAAGCCCAGATCTAGTTTTGTATATTCAGTTCACTAATCAAAAATTACAAAGGACATACATTGTTTTACTTCTAGTCGTTGGGGTTGTGTGGTTTGGGGGGGTGGGAGCAGCAGGGGGGAGTTTGTATAGCTAGATAACTCTATTGAAATTAAACTCCAGAGGTGATTATTCTGGTTGAAGACCAGGCTTATTTCTGTTTCCTTGCACAGGATGGGAACTGCCAAATCAAGTAGCCTTTTCTCTTTTGTGTCCTTTAAAGGGAAAACGGGAACACTCGACACGGTGTTTCCTTTCACCTCCCTACAGTCAGTCAGTATTTAGTGCTTGCTTTGAATCAGGATGGTTCAGTAATAACAAGCAGTAGTCAATTTCATTGGCTAATTACATACCTGTTTCCTTTCTCCCGTTGTATCAGTATTAAATGAATTGCTTCTTCAAAATTCCTAGTTACTAATTTAATGCTGTGTAGCTTGGGGAATAGGAATACTGGCCTTTTCTACTATACTAACTTTTTCATACTGCAGTCTTATTTGTAAATCACCCTTTAAAAAAATTTTTACTATGGGCATAGATTTTTTTTTTTCCTATCTCCTTTCACACCATGTATTCATAATATCTATCTGCACTACAAGAAAAAAAAAAGGGGGGGAGGGGGAGATTCATGTGCATGCACTTTGTCTTTGACCTGTTACTTGGAACTCAAAAATTCTGGTCCATTAAAGAGCTAAGAAAACGTTAGGCATTAGATTTTTGTTACTCTTTCATAGATTGTAAGAAGGCTAATAGTTGTCAGATTAAAACCAGAATGGTTTATTAAAATTGAGTCTGTTTACCTTATGGTGATGTTTTTGTATTTGTCAGTATCAAGAAATACTGACAAATCAAGACATACAGGAATTTGTATATTCAAAATGTTCTTTTAATTTACAGGACACTGCTTACTTCTAGTGGTAACTTCAGGGGTACTCTGGCACATTTATCTCAGTATAACAAAGCTGATTTAACAAACATTTTGTAATATGAGGGTGGAGAGGAATAAATAAGACTGCTATAAATTGATTTTAAAAATTGAGCTCTAAGATGGTATATCCTATTTTGAGTTATGAAATCATTTCTAGCTCTGCTTTTAGAGTAGGCTAAAAATAGTTAGAATGTCAGACCATTGCTCTGTTAATGGATCATGCCCTTCCTCTTTTAGTCTTATCTTGCTGTTTAAGTACAGTAATGTTGCAGATTCCTTTGCCTATTTTAGCTGGCCAAGAAGAGCTTGTATGCCTCTAATCCATAACAATATGCTGAATACTTCTGAATTTCTCTTTCTGATTGTAGATGGAAAGATTGTATAAAAATGGGAATGAGAGCTTTCTTTCCATGTAATAGGAAATGGAGAAAGTATTGGAAGAAATACACCTTTTTATTCTTCAGAAATTACTGCACACCTGCCCTTTGCTGTGAGATGTTCCTTACAAGCATGCTAATTGGGGAAGATTTTTTTTAAAACAACTATTTGTTGCAAATGGCAACACTGCATTTTTGGAGTTACAGCTAAAATAGCGTGATCTGGATTTACATTAATGTGTTTATCCTGAATAGCAGTGTGGTACTTTTTGCGTAGATAGCACTCTGGAGAAGGGATGGGGTCTCTGTAAAATATGCATCTATCATAGAACAAAGATATCTACTATGTCAAATCCAGCACAATGAAAGAAAAAGCAATAGCTTGGGTTTTTTGTACTTAAGAGTTAGTGAAGTTGGAGAGGGGGGAAGAGTGGAGGTGAGAAGCTATTAGCATTTTATAGCAAGGAACAAAGAAGAAAGTCCAGATAGATAAAATGATGATACATGTAAAACTAAATTCACCTTCTAGTCATGCTGAACTAAATCTTTCTCAGCCATTGCACAGGAGAGAAGTTTGTAACTAAAAATTAAGATTCAAAGCAAAAGCATTTTCTGAGTGCTTGCTTCATCCTTTGGTCCTACAGCTGAGACTACAATGTTGACAAGTGGTGTATCTAGCATGCTACTCTGAACCATAGGTACTGCCAGAAAATACTTCATGAGAGAATGTTGCAATATGTCACTGCTAAAAATGAACATTTCAGGAAGTTATTTCAAACTTAGAATTAATAGCATCTGAATGCAGGACTAGCAGCCACAACATGTTGTATTTGTAATTCCATTTTTGGATGTTGAGCCTGTGTTAGTATTGGACACATTTTTCTCCTACAACATGAGTATGCCTGGCTTACCTCTCCTGGTGATGTGAGAGTTAATCTTCTTAAAAGACTTTTAAAGATGAAAAGCACTGTGTATAAGAACACTACACGCTCCCCGAGTTGAAAAACAAACTTGTGTCAAATATATCTTCCTCCTGCTGAGCAAAGGAGAACAGCAGAAAGGATATTTGCAATGTTTGTTTTCAACATTTAAATATTTTCATTGAGCTGTCTTCTGTTGTCCAGAACCGATTAAATCTCTGATGCTAGAACTAGAACCAGGATTTTTTCCCTTCTTTTTTTAAATTAGTACTACTAGTTTACTATAATGTTTTTAGCACAGAGGGACTATCTAATGGAATCTCACTTAGTATAGCACAGAGGTTTCTTCTAAAATTACTTTCTGGGCTTTGCCAATGAGTAAAACTAAAAATAGAACAGGCCTGAGAGGTAACTTCTAAGGATTTTGTGAGAATTAGTGTCCTATTTGTTTCTTCTATTCTGCAAATAAATCCTGGAAATGCAGATTGTGTGAGTAGTTCGATTAAGTGTTGGGGTTTTTTTATAATTTTAATCCCAGTACGCCAAGGTTGCCGGCTAGCTGACTCACCAGATGGAGCTGTAGGCTTGTTATTCTTCACTAGATAGATAGTCATCATTCCATCCCTGAACAATGCTACTGTGTGAAACTAATGTATTCTTGTCTTATGACTGAAAAAGGCAAGCCACCAGAATGATTTATCAGTGCATTTGCTGATCTCTGGTGGGAGAATACTAAGATTCCATTTATTCTTGGCTACTTGGAGGAGATCACATCATAGCATTCAGACTGATATATTCACAAGGTAGTATGTGACTCAGCAAAATTCTTATGAGACAGATAAAAGTTGCTTGGGCAAGGGTGGCTTAGCAGCATCTTAGAAAAAGAACTGTTTGAGAAGCAAGTAAGTTCTTGAACATGTCAGAAACTGAATTCCTGGTGTGTAATTATAAGCCATTGTCCACAGATAAGCTTAATTACACACATATATCTTAGGGCCCGGATACCTAACAGAACACCCCTTGGCCCAGGTGTGAGCAGAGGGGGGTGCATAGTGAGCACCACAAGTTACAAGTGACAGAACCGATTTCAGAAACTGGTTTATACATGCCTGCCTTCATAGTACAGCGTTGCAATGCAAGCACGTCAGGACACAAGTCTGAGTCCAGAAAGCAGCGGCAATGGATTCAGGCTAAGTATATAATGCCAATTTACTCCTTGTACCTGCTCCCCTAATATGTCTGATTCCTTCTTAGAACAGCTAAGGGTGGTGGTTTTTCAGCTCAGAAAATAGCATCCCCGTTCTGAATATAGAAGATCTAAACTCAGGTCCACCCTGGTGGGGGAGAGTTCATTCTGAAAGCATCCTTGATGTCTTTTTTTTTTTTTCTTCCTCTTGTGCTTCATTAACAGTGCAAAAATCAATTGTTTGTGGGGGGCTGCAGCCCAGACCATGTCTGCTTTGTTGCAGAAAGTACTGTGAGCAGGCAAGCAGCTACAGGACGTGGAAGAATGTTTTTGTAGTTAAGGAATCTGAATGTCTACGGGATTTGGATTCTTTTCTTGCCTCTATTAGGCTGCCCTCCTAGCTTGTGGACAAGAAGTTTTAAGCCGGAGGCTAAATATAGCTTCTGATTTTTACTTTCATAGATTTTTTTGGTATTATTTCTCCCAGTGGGTAATACAGATAAATGTTAAGACAGTTAATGGAGGGGATTGTTTAAGTACTTGGAGAAGCTACATCAAGAATTGTTTTATGTGACGATTAAGTGTGTTTCTCTGTACTAGGCCTACACTGATAGATTTTTGGAAATATTCTCTAGGCAGACACTACATGAAAAGAAATTAAGAGAAACTGAGCTTTGATAGATACATACAATTCTGAAGGCATTTAAATACGGGAGTGAATAGGTAGCAATGGTTCAGTGCTTACCAGTACTCAATTTTCTTCTGCTCTCCTGTTCTATTTTTCAGCTGTACTCCATTGCGCCACAAGCTGATATCTCACTTTGGACAAGATCGCTATTGGTGAATACCACTATAAGGTGGTATTCCTATCTGACAAAAACAATACCAAGCTAAAAATCTTTGTTTAGTTCCTGGTCATCCTTCCCTACTTGTTCAGTTAAAAAACAACAAAACAAAACAAAAAACCCACCAAAAAAAACCCACACAAACAAACAAAAACCAAACCAAAACCCCACACCATTTTAGTCCTTTGAGGGCCATTAGAAGACCACATGTCAGTGTTTCCAAATAAAAGAAAAAAATAGCTGTATTGTAAAGCCTGAAAGCAGAGCTTGAGATAATTGTACACAATTTCAAGTATAATTTAATTATGGTAGTCTAGCCTGTTCTTTGGAAGGGGGGGGGGGAACAAACCAAAACAACCCAAACCCCCAACCAACCTCTGCAAGGAAGGTAGTTCCACAGCTTTACAAGCTGGTGTCTTGTCTTTTCTTCAGAATCCTTTTTATTTGGTGGGCAATCATGTGATGCCCCTGTGAAGTTGTGTATCCCTTGCTGTTGAATAGATTTCACCCTTGCTGTTGAATAGATTTCACCTGTAGCTCTAAGTCAAAAATAGACTTACTCATAACTGAGAAAAATTATGCTTGGAAAAAATGTTTGCGATGGCTGAGTGTTTGGGTTTCCTGTATTTGTGAGACCATCATTAACTACTTTGAGTAAAGGAGGTAGTTATTAATGAAAGATAATCAGTGCTGCTGCTGCTGATTATAGGGAAAAAGGAATCAGCACATCTGAGGCAAATTATGTGACAACAGTCTCTATTAAAGAATGATACTCTGACTGGCTGTGGAGAAAAAAAAAACCCTTGCAAAAAGAAAATAGTGTGTTGTATCTCTCCATAAAAACAGAGTAATTTCTGAGATGGTAGGATGCATAAGATGTGGGCCTGTGGAGAAAAAAAAAAACCCTTGCAAAAAGAAAATAGTGTGTTGTATCTCTCCATAAAAACAGAGTAATTTCTGAGATGGTAGGATGCATAAGATGTGGGCTGGAGGAAAGGGAACAGACAGTAAGGGCACACGGTTGTATGCAACACAATGCACGATTGCTTTTAGAGATTCTTTGGAATATTTGGAAAGGAGGGCTCTTCTGAGAATGCTAATCTCTATAATTTTGGGCAGAGAGAAAGGGTAGGAGAGAAAGCATGTCACAATATATTTCAGATGCTGTTATTTTAGGAAAGGACCATTGAAACTCAGTACCGCTAGTGCATCTGCTGTGTGTGTCTCTGTGTATGTGTAAGGCTGAAGAGGTGAAATGTCCTCGGTTCATTGCTGTTGTTTAAATCTATGATTTATCATCAAGGTCACACCAAGAGAGAATACACCTCCACTTTAAATTTGGTGACACCTGTTTTCCATGCCAGGGCAGAGGAATTGTCAGAATGGAATGCAAGCCTTAGGTAATGAGTCTTACAGTAGTATGGACAAGTCAGACAGTGAATCACTTTTGAATCTCTTTTCCATGAAATATTTTTATGAGGATGTATGTGACAAACATTGCAGTAACACGTATGGGTGTCCCTCTAGTGCTTTAAGCAAACATTTTGCATTCATTAGCTCAATGTAGTATCTAACCTTACTAAAAGCTGAGATGCTTTCCGATTAATGTATTTAGCCTGATATCATTTGCAAATAACTTGAAAGCATTTGTGGTCTTGAGACAAAGAAATGATGCAACTATCACCACTATCATCTTATTTTTGCGAGGAAGAAGAATACCATAGATGAGATTTTAAAACATGACACATTAATACGTCCTGGGCATAGGTGCCCTAGACATAAGATCATCAATTATTTTTGTTGGTTGCATCATGAATGGAAATCAGTCTGGTCATGTTCTTGTGTTTAAAATAAGTAAATGTCCTATATTCAACAATTGCACAGAATGTCAGCAGAAGTAGTAGTATGCAATGAATTTAAAGCAAATGCTTTTTTTTAAAGTGATAAAAATGTCAGAAAGAGCACATCAAAAAGCATGATGTACAACAGCCTGGCTGTTTACCCTAACATATTCCAAGTAGCCTATTTTTTAAGGAAAACTGAACAAAACAATTTCTCATTTTGAAAAGAAGCTCTTTCCTGTTTCTTCCAGTACCTTTGTGAAATAAAATGTGGAACTCCTTGTTTTGTAATGGGAAAAAAAAGCTACCCCCCCCAATCATTTGCCTGCAGAGACTGAAAAGCGTAACTACTGAGCTATGGTTTCTAGATTTGCTTAATTTATACTGGGGGCAGGGGGGAAGAGGAAGAACAACAGTAAAAATAAAAAGTCTGAAAAACCTTTGGAAAAGACAATAGCCAAAGATTCAAATATGGAGGTAGAAGCAGGTTTTAATCATAACATTGTTAGAAAAAACTGCAGAAAGACTTGTCAGGTTGCAATTCATCCTAGTCTTGTCAATCACCATTATTGCCAGGCACAAAAATGAAGCTGAAGTGCATATGAGAAGTTTTTACATAGAAGTTGTAGAATATTGTCACTAACCCACCCCCACACACCCATTTTATTTCATACTGACAAAAGCTGAGATGAATGAGTTGTCTGGCCCTTCCCACTTTGTATAGTCATTGGCTGGCTTGGTTCTAAAAAGGATTTAAAAAAGGGGAATAATGTGCCTTTGCCTGGGATCTGAGACTGTCAGGGTGCTGAAAAGCTAATCTGTGAGCTGCCACCATGCAGATCTCTTGGGCTGTGTGCTCTGTCTGTGTCTTAATACAAATTGCATTTCGATCTGTGGAAGGGTGGCAGATGTTTAAAAATGATGCTACTGAAATCATTCCTGAGATCACTGAAAATACAGAAACACCAATGGAGCAGACTTTCAGCAACAACAACACAATGAACCAGGCAAAGCATGGAGGAAGACACATACCACAAGCTCCAGACCCTAACGGTAAGAAAAATAACATCATTATAACTGTTTTGGACCCTAATAGACAGTTTGTAAAAGAATACTTGTTATCATATATGTTTGTTTATTAAAACCTTCAGGTGTGGACCTAATGCTGTAAGTGATAGGGAGTTACATCTACTGTTGAAGAACTGTCAGTGTAAACATTAGAAGGGAGTTTACTGATGAAAAACATAGTCTATCTGTTGAACGATCCTTAAGTACTACAATATGCATTCCTATTCTGCCCAGCTGCTCTCTGCAGACACAACTCCAATACATAAAACCTGTAGAAGATACTACTTAAATTTCTCTGTGTTTTGTGCTTGCAAGCACTGTGAGGAAATACCATTAGTCATCTTTCTCTCTTTGATGTTAGGATAGGGCAATGGGTTGACAGTGGAGATAATATAAATTCTTAATATTTAGAAAGAGTCACACTAGTGTTGTCTAAGCTTATACAGGAACAATGGCACATGGAGCTTGTATTCAGCTAGATGAGAGAAGTGTGCTGCTCACTGTCCTTTGTCAACAGCCAGATTTTCAGCCAGATTCCAGCAGCCAAAAAAAGCTGTTATGAACAGTTAAAGCATTCCCAAGGGGAATTCATGCCCAAATGAATTGGAGGGGACTCTATTTTGCAGAGGTGTGCAATCTTGGAATCAGTTTGGCTACTTCAACAGCACTGACATACTTCATAACATATTGTCACTGCATTTGGCCAAATGTCTAACATTAGCAATGATGCAAAACACAAGCTTTGTGAGAAGAGATGGAATATGGGGAGTTAGCACCAGAGAAAGGTAGTTCTAAAGAAGCGTTCTACTGGCAAATAGGGCAAACTTGATCCTCCAGAGTGACACATTTGGCTACCAAATCCATGTAGCAACAAGTCAAACTTACAGTTTCCACCATCGTGCACTGCAGATCTGAGCTAGCCTTCTTTTTCTGGGGACAACTGGAAGGGAATTGTGTTTTTCTGCTGCAGCTGTCAGTTAAGGTGTTTAAAACCATAGCATTAACAATATTTTAAAAGAAAAAAAAATGAAGTCATGTTTTTGAGAGTGCGACTTTATAAAGGTCTTAAATCCCTAAAAGTGGGAGCACCCTGCTTCTCACAGGCAGCCCCACCACCCACCAGGTCAAGGCAGGTTGGTTTTGTTGTTACATCTGAATACCTTCATTTTTTAGCCTCTTACTACTCTGACATCAACTGGGGGGAATCCCACATGTCCCACTGATGTGTGCATATTTTTTGAAGGACATTTACTTAAGAAAGAGAGAGTGAAGGAGACTGGACAGTTATTTGAGATATAAAATGGTCTTGCATACTTATTTTAACATCTTTAACACAAAGAATCAAACTGATGATCGAAAGTGGCGAGACCTTCCCAGGACACATGACGTTGCACCAGACCATGAATAATTTTGCAGTATGTGGAACCTGCACACATACAGGACAGGACATACATGCTCAGAAAATAAACCTATATAGCTGAGACAAATGCCCATATATTTAACTGTATCTGCCTATGTGCTATGGTGGTACAACACACCTGATTCAGAGCATTATTTTTTACATAGACAGACATAATTTCCTTAAATGTGTATGGAACTTGGGAGGATAAGACTAAGTGCACGTGGACTTCAGTTGTCAGCATTTTTGTCACAGCATTATGACAAGGATTGTTTCATTTCATTAATGCGGTCCTTAAAACTTTTAAAAAATGAAATCTTGCTAGCTGTACTTTGATAAATATAAACCTGAGCACTAAAAATCATGTTTCTGTACTTCACAGGAAAAACAAAAATTAAAATATCTGTACAAATACTGTTCTATCACTAATGACTCAGGGTCAGAATTCTCTATTGAGGGAATAGAGAATTCCCTCTAAGAAGGGAACCACCTTGTGCACAGCAAGGAGAATGGGTCTAACAGACACAGCCTTCTATTTGTAAGCTGGCCTTTGAGGATTTCCACCACAAGTAGCGTTCCTGAGTTAAGACGATCCTTTTGACTAAGAGAACATTAGCATGTGTTTATCTAGATGAAGTTCTTTGATAAACACCCTCAAAAATCAAATTCTGTGTCTTCCAAACAAGCCAATTAGCCAAGCATGTCATTTGGCAAAAGAGACGCCTTCGGAAAAAGTCTGTTCCTACAATTGGAAAGTTTTTCTAAATCCTTAATGCTAAAAAATCTTGTCTTTCCTAATGTTTCATTTGCCTATAGCTGTCCATTGAGAAAAAGGGGGAAAAAGAACCACTGTAAGGTTCCTAATCAGCCAGAAGATGCCTCTAGCTGTCTGAAGGAAGTTATATGGGACAAATGGGATTATCACAGAGAGCAGTAAACTTGGAAAACCTAGTGCCTGAAGAGTGGGAATTTCTTAGCACTGTTGTTACCTGCTGATTTCCCTAATCTGGAACACATTATGCTAGTTAAAAATCACTTAAGGAACACTTTCTTTGTTGCAAAAGAATTTAAATCTGGAGTCAACCTCTGAAGTCAACAAACTAGAGCAATGGGGGAAGGTTTTGCCCACAGGTAAATGAAGCCAGGAGAATCCCATCAAAATTTCCCATGAGGTAACCGCTGCTGCTGGGGTTACACTTCAGAAGCTGCACTGCCCACCTGCAGAACCCTGACATGGAATTTACCTAGTGGCAAGAGAAGGATTTTGTCCATCAATTTGTATATTGTTATTCAAGGGTCTCATGACTAGTGTAGCCAGATATTCAGAAGCTGCACGAGTGAGTCTTTGGAGATAGTCTTCCCAAAATCTGCCACTGAAGATGTCCAGCTTGTATCTAGCTCAGAGCTAGATATCTGCTACAGAAACAAAAAAGTGCTTTCTCAAGGATGGGGAAGAAAGTAGTCAGTAATTAATGTTTCTTGTTTGCAGATGCTTCCGACTTCAGCTGCAGAGAAATGCGAACCACCCGCTATGTCACAGAAGGGCCTTGCCGCAGCATCAAGCCTGTCAAGGAACTGGTCTGCTCTGGTCAATGTGTCCCTTCGCACCTCCTTCCCAACTCTATTGGTAGAGGGAAGTGGTGGCGTCAGAATGCCCTGGATTATCGCTGCATTCCTGCTCACACTCGCATGCAGCGCATCCAGATGGCTTGTCCCGAGGAAGAGACTCGGACTTACAAATTCCGAGCTGTCACATCCTGCAAATGCAAGCGCTACACTCGCTACCACAACCAGTCTGAGCTGAAGGACTTTGGAAAGGAAACTGTCAGGCCTCAGAAGAACAAGAAGCCCCGTCTCTCCAGAGCCAGGAGCAGCAAATCTAACCAGCATGAGTTAGAAAATGCTTATTAGAAGGTGGCTCTGAGTGATACTGCCTAGCAGCTCTGGATGTTTTACAAAACATCAAATGGCACTCACAGGCCACAGCATGACATTCTGACTGCAGTAGGTTCCAATTCCTTCTGCTAAGCTGGGTCCAAGGCTCACATAGTCAAAAAAATCTGTCAGATTGTAGCAGTTATGGTCTGATAAGAGAATGAGATAAGCCGAGCTGGAGGGAGCAACACCTAAATTCAGTCTGAAAGGACAGGTACACCTTGGAGATTCATGTGAGGTCATGTGGCTTGTACAAGTAGGAATGCAGAGGGAAGTGAAGCTGTTACGGCAACAATCACACTTTGTTAGAAGTTGTTCTACTCATGTTATGTGAAAAGAACACTGAGATCCCTTTCCCACTTTTATAAGTGCCATGATGCAGGACAAACATGTGATTAAGGAAGCACCAGCAGAGTTACCGCTCTCTGAATGAGTTGTAGAAAGTTAGTGATAGCAGGGATTTCAACAGTTATGGTGACTGAAGTCAAATTGTTGGGAAATTAACATCCTGTGAGATGTCCTCATGCTCCAGTTGTTTCCTCTAAAACACAAAAATCAAAATATGGCACTCGTGTTCTCAAAAGTGTGACAAAGCTATTTCATACTTTTGATTAAAAGACTGTAGGTTCAACAGATTCAAAAACTGAGATTTGACAACTAAAACCATACTTGTTTTAGGGACAATGATTTGTTTCAGGAACAATTAAACAAATTCCACTAAGTGGAGCAGATTTATGAAATAGATGCTCGTCTCAAACCAGATAACCTCACTGATGTTTGTCCTGTAAACAGCTAATGATATGCATAATTTAACATAAAAGATACTGATTATTCCTTATTTCCTAGAACACAATTGACTTTAGTATCAGCTTAGATATCTCAATTTACTTTTTCTATTCTGTAGAGTTTGGATTATCTGGCCACACACTTTGTAGTGCTAAGACTGTGCAAGCCAAGTTCTGTAAGTAAGGTGCTGGTTCTGCATTAAAAGTGAGCCTCTGCTAATTTTAAAGTCATTAATTCCTCTAGACAAGTCTTTGGTGTGTGCAGCTTTGGTAAGTCTTTAGTTTGACAGCAACTTTCCTTTACTTAGCTTCTCAACATTCAGACTAATGTTTGTGTTTTTAACATTAAAGAATATTATTAGAAAGTGAATCGTCACATGCTGTATATATCCTGTAGAAGTGCTAAGCCTAGTATCAGATGAACACAGTTTGGGATGAAGACAGTTCCTCACTGTTCTTATTTTCTATGTAGAGTTTATGCTGAAGTCATATAAACTATGGAAATTTGCAATGTTGATAGATTTTGCAATTATTTTATGTGGGAACAGAACCTAGAGAGAAAAGATATTGTTTCAGAAAGTGAATTACATATTTATTTTTTTTCTCAGAAATTATTTATGCAATGTTTTTCCTTGTAGAGAATGAGAAAGTAATAATGCTTTAAAAATATTAGTCTGTTATTTTTAATTTTAAATACATTGTTAATAAAGTAGAAACAATGATTAATTATAGGAAGACTCATTGATTTTCAGCTATAGTATAAAGCTCATTTGCTGCAAAGCCAGTGAATTACAGAACAGTCAGGGTGTCGACTCCAATTTCTGTGATAGAGGGTATCAGGGTCCTTAATTCTCAGTCAATAACCCACACATCTAAAGAAACTCCATCCTGAATCTTCGTGCTCCAATGCACGACATTTCTCATGGAAAAAGTCTTCCTGTGCAGATGTGCAGCTCAGAACTATTTCAGTATTCTCATTTCTACTTCCCCTGGGGAAGAAAAACTCAGCCAATTTCAGTTTCCCTCCTACTCCCAGTGACATTTCCTGATTCATATGTTCACAACCTGATAAAGCCACCAAAGAAAACAAGAAGTCTGTGAACTGTCGATCAAGATTTCTTGATTGAAATCTGATTGTTTCAGATTTCTCTCATTGAAAAAAAAGAACTGTGGAATCCCCTTGCAAGTGCTGCCAAGCAACAGTTAAATTTTTAACAATTTGATATTGTAGACCTGTGCCCATTTTCATTTATAAGGCCATGTTCTTTAAGAAACAAAGACATTTTCCAATGAAGTCAGGGAAAACTGAGCTTGGACTGCACATAGTGTAATACAGCTGTAAAGATTAACAGCTTTTTCAAGACAGCCAGTAGATAAGGTGTCCTTTCACTACTATTAGTTGATACCTCATATAAAAACATAATACAAACAGTTGTCATACCTGTGACAACATTTTTCAGACTTATCTTTGACTTTATGAATTTGGCACTTGGGGCTTGATTTTTAGAAACCAGCATGAACACCTGCAAGTGCTTCTTAAGTAAGAAAAGCAGTTCAGTTCCTCTGAAAAGCTATTCCACAGTCTCACTGGCATCTAAAGTTACTAGAATATTGTTTTTAAAATGCTGTGATAAGCCAGTGAAAGAGACTTACTCCACTTCATCTGAGACTTCATGCTGGATTCCAGGCAGTTCAGAAGTATAGGACCTGCTGCAGGTAAACCAGTAATACCTTTCTCCCAAATGTTTCACCTTGAAGACGTACTCTTCCAAAAAAAACCCCAATCCTCCCACACAGTTCTCTTCTACCAAAAGTGCAAAAGTTTCCTGCTGTTACGCTGCCATTCAGAATCCTGCAGTTTTCTGACTTACAATGTAACGATTGGTTCTTTGCATGTTATAAAAGCTTTTACAAGAACACCAATGGACAGGGAGTCCTGAGGCACTTACTTATACTACTACGTTTCCTCTCAACGCCCATCCTGTTTACAGTTGCTTCTCACTGGTTTCTTACCACACGTTAAAAGTGGATTAGATGAGCAGTCTGCAGATATGCTTAGTCTTCTGTAACCTTACTCCTGAAACAGTCCCCTCCAACCACCTCTTTTGCAATTTATGTTATCAAGAGAGGAATGGGAAATAGTAGTGTTCTGCAAACAGCTGGAAAAATCAAAATGTGGGATGTTTCACAGAGGTAGACGGCTACATCCCCCCCTCAAATGTGGGTTCTTTTCAAACAGAGCATTTGGGTTGGTTGGTTGGTTGGTTTTCACACTTTTTTTTTTTTTTAATCTCTAATAAAGGTGTACGTGATTTTAGCCTCAGATTAGTACATATTACTTACAGCTGTTAGTAGGGCTCTAGAACAACACAGAAATTTAGAGAGTGACTTACTGGTCTAATAAACTATGTCAGTGTTTGCTGAAAGCTTTATTTACGACTTAAGGGACATGCTGTACAGAGGAGATGCCATCTCTAACTGGGGGTTTGGGAATGAGGGTCTGCAGGAAATTTCAGTTTGTCTTCCACACCAAATCTATACACTTCCAGTTCTTTCTGAAGAAAAAAGGTTGCTACTGTACACAGAGGAAATAACTGAAAACAGAGCGACTTTATAGATTGTCCTTACATCAGTGAAACATTACTAGACACAAGGCATACATGCAACAGGCTCTTTCAGAGTAACAAATACTCCAAAGGGGCTTTGTAAGGGGCAGAGACCTGCTGGGCGCTCCTTTTACAGAAGCATTAAATAGTTTTTCGTCAGGACTATAAACTCTTCAGGCAAGAGCGAATTTCTTCATTGTAATTTTTGCAATAAAATAGCACAATGGTACGTAGTGTAGGTGCTACTGAACTGTAAGTAGTAACAGGTCACTGAATTTACCTTCACTTGGCTGGAGACAGCTGCCTGTCAGCAACTGAACTGTCATAATGGGTAGTCCACAGAAAAACAATCAAGTTGCTTTTTTCAGACAGGATTCATGATTTCTCCATCAGCTTTGAACATTCATTTGTCCCCCATTTTTATTTCCAACTTGTGTAGACAACAAACCATGGCACATTCTCTACAATATACTCACTGACTTACAAAAAATAGTCAGTGTGCCTACTTTATTTCTTTTTCTGGCAAAAATACAATTCTGCTATTATTCAGTGAAAAATAAACTTACAGGCAGCACAAACAGCCTGCTGGTATCCACAAGGTCCCAAAGATTTTGCATGAGGTTCAACTTTTTAATTACAAATTGCACAATAAAGAACATAACTTTATCCAGTGAGGCCCTAGGCCCAGAAAACACATATTGTGTGTGTTCTGCAAATGTGGTTGAGAAAGTCAGCATCATGAAATACAGAAAGAATAAACATGTATTTTTTTAGCCATATGACATCAACTTATAATTAGCTTGTTTCACTCAAATTAGTGCAGTATATGGGTGCACAGAACAACTTTTCTATAGTAAACAGGCTCAAAAGTCTTAAATTAACATAGAACATATTTATATGTAGCTTGAGTTGGGATTGAACATACTGTGCAGTTGTAACCTGAAATTTGAATAAACTGAAACTCCCCTTGATAGGCAAGTAAGGGAAGTCCACCTTTAAAATAACTCACAGTTTAAAATAAAGCCAGTACAAGTTGCAGAACTTGCAACAAACACAGCTGATGTTATTCAGTTACACAAAATAGTACAACTGCTCCCCTTTCAGTCTTAAAGCCATCAAAGGACAATTCTGCACAAAGTTTTTTCCAGTTATATACAAAGGGATGGACATTTCTCTTCTGTTCCCAGAATTGTGGGAACGGTTTTTACACTGAATGTTGGAGAGTTGTAACATCAAGCTGCAGTGTTTCATGGACAAGGGTCATGATGCCTTGTTGTCTTTTCATTGAATTAGGAATATGGTGCTTTTCTGTCTTTTTTGATGCCACAATGAATTTTATTCTCACTAGAGTATAATAAACGTACTGTGCCTGAAGCCCAAAGGGAAGGAAGTAATGCTGATTCTTCTGGCTCCGTTAACCATTCCTGACACTGTATCATTAACTAGCTATTTCTTTTAATCCTAAAAGCTCTCACTGCTCTCTTATGAGGACAAGTTATTACTGTGAAAAGAGGATAATAAAACTAATCAGTAAAACCTGAGTAGAGGTAAAACTCATCAGCACAAGCCCTGCTAATTCTGAAATAAAAGTATAAAGAACACAAAGACAATCTTCAAAACATTATCTCACCTCTACCGCATCACAATGTACGGCTAAATTGAACAGTTCCAGGGAGGGGGCATCCACAACTTCTCTGGGCAACCTGTTCCAGTATCTCACCACCCTCACAGTAAAGAATTTCTTCCTAATACCTAACCTAAGTGTACCCTCTTTCAGTTTAAAACCATTGCCCCTCATCCTGTCACTAGACTCCCTGATAAAGAGTCCCTCCCCATCTTTTCTGTAGGCCCCCTTTAAGTACCGGAAGGCCGCTATAAGGTCTCCCTGGAGCCTTGTCTTCTCTAGGCTAAACAATCACAACTCTCTCAGCCTGTCCTCATAGGAAAGGTGCTCCAGGCCCCCGATCATCTTCGTGACCCTCCTCTGGACCCACTCAAGGAGGCCCATGTCTTTCTTACGCTGGGCCCCGCAGAGCTGAATGCAGTACTCCAGGTGGGGTCTCATGAGAGTGGAGTGGAGGGGCAGAATCCCCTCCCTTGACCTGTTGGCCACACTTCTTTTGATGCAGCCCAGGCTTTCTGGGCTGCGAGTGCACGTTGTCAGCTCATATTCAGTTTTTCATCCACTAATATCCCCAAGTCTTTCTCTGCAGGGCTGCTCGCAATCCACTCATTGCCCAGCCAGTTTGTCTGCGATTGCCTCAACCCAGGTGCAGGACCTTGCACTTGGCCTTGTTGAACTTCATGAAGTTCACATGGGCCTACCCCTCTAGCCTGTCAAGGTCCCTCTGGACGGCATCCATTCCCTCTAATGTATCAACCACACCACTCAGCTTTTGAACACTTTAGTATCTAAGCTTGTAATCCATCCCAGCCCTGCTTCTCCCTGGTGCTACCAGGGGCTGACTGGTTCACGCTGGTGCCATGAACATCCAGTGTGTGATGTGAATCACTTTTTTGCCTCATATTGGCTACTCAGATTCTAACTGATCTAGGTGGGGTTGTCATGACACTTTGGCACTAGCACTTTAGATTGAAATTGTCCCTTTCTTATGAATTTGTACAGCACTCAGGATATGGTAACATTGATCTGTGCTTGGTGTCCGTAAGGGTAATGCCATCATTTGCATCTCAAAGGGAAGCAGCCCCAACTCCTTCATTGAGTTACAAGTCCAAAGTCATGCACCTCCCTGCTGAAGACTGCCACATCAGGCTGTTTGTAGTATTAACCGTTAGACTCAAGCTTTCTTGTTCGTGGCTTTCCAGGCAATTTAAATATACTCTCAAACCAAGGAATAAAAGTGTATTTATTTTGTGGTTATCAAGCCCCTAAATTAAACAGATATCTTTATCACTTTGCCAACAATTTAATGCTTGTGGCATGAGGTTATTTCAATGTCTTAAGAAAACGTCTCAGCTCTGGCTAAATAAATAAGTGATGTCATTCTTCATTCAGGCTACCAGATTCTTTGGTGTAAAAACTTCCCTTAGGA